CGCCTAGGGGCGTGTTTGCTCCGTGAGGCTGCTGCGCTCTTACCGCCAGATGAAAGATTCGTGTTCCCGCCTCCGGGCTACATCGCTTTCCTTGCCCTGCCTCCATAGTTTAGTGAACGACTGCCTTTTCCCGCTGTATTTCAGCGGGTTCTTTTCACTCTGTTTTGTGGGCACTAGTTGCGTCTTGCTGTCTTGGTTCCCGGGTTGGAGGTTTTCCTCCGTCAGTTACCATTTAAGGGGGTGTCGGGGAAGGTGGCCCACTGGCACTCCTGGGATTTTATTTTTTCGTTAAGTGAAGTAACCCTGTTTATTATGACTTAGGTGCGATTCTTCGCCAGTCACTGATCCCAGGAATGCATGATATATAAAAGTAGAATTTGATGGGAAGAAAGTTCTTATATTCTTGACTAATGGAAGGAAACTGTAATTACATGGTACTAAAGTGAAGGAAATTTGGGGTTTTGACAGTATTGGCATTTGAATTCTGCACATTGTGCTTGGTAAAGAAAAACTTTTTAAAGATACATCCTCAGGTTGGAGAACCTCTCCAAGAGCTCATTTGAACCATAAACTTTTTAAAAGAAAAAAGGCGCTGGAAAAGCACATTTTCTTACTGAATTACATGTTTGCAACGTCATGGACCCACGATGCTATTTAAGTTTTTCTACTGTATTTGAAGTTGAATTTTGAATTTTTATCCCTCAAAGTGCTTTGGATTGCATGCTGTCTCATGTTGCTGGTGAAGCAAAACCATGTGTTCATACACTTTATGGTAAGTGGTAAGAAAAAATGTGCTGTAATACATGTCTGCCTAAGTTTGCTGCTTTTATTTGTAGCATCAGAAAAATATTCCTTAATAGGATGGTGTTAATAAATACAGTGGGTAAACTTTTTTATGTAGAGGTGGGAGTAGGGAAAAGGTATTACAAGAAAGTTACTGTGGGGCAGGATTGAGGGCTTGACTGAAATGGTAGAGAGTCTGCCTAACAAGTTCATGTTTCTGACTTCAAACTTGGTGTGTGTGGACGGGTGGGGTACAGTGGAAACAGCCTCTATTTCCAATTTGGCTAAACTTGATGTTCAACATACCAGATTGGTAGTACAGACCAGAAAAGTTTGTGACTGGGAGTTGTAGAGTGACAGCAAACCTGAGATGTGGTTGATACTCAGTTTATAATTCTGACTTCAAGAAGTGTTGTTCCCATTGCAAAAGTTTCATAGTTGCGAAATATGAGTGAAAGTAGTAAGCTGATTACTTTTTGTTTCTAAAATATTGTCAAGAATATTGCTTTGTGTGTGTATGGGGTGCGGCGAGAATATTGGAGTTTGAACTCAGGACTTTGCTCTTAGTAGGCAGGTACTCCTTCCACTTGAGCCAGGCCTCCAGTCCTAGAATATTTTTTAAATGTTACTGTTTCTTGGATGTTGTTCCATATTTGCAAAGTATCACAATAAATAAATGTGAAGTTTAATAGGAAAATGTACTGTCATGATTGAGAACTACAGGGAAAAATTCATAAAGTCCATCAATTAAGTATTGAGAAGTAGAATTAGTTAAAGCAGTTCTTAAAACTTCAGTTCCTTTCATTGTTCTTAGGCAAGCCTTGCCGGACAACAGTATCACCTGATAAGAATAACACTTTTTATTACTTTTCTTCTCTTAAAGCTCATATTTAACTTAATGCTCTACACATAGGGGTCTCAGAAAACATGCAGCATTTATTTCCTACAATTATATGGTATAAAAATCAAGTTTTCCGTTTTCCTAGACAGTAACAGTTAAAGCAGTTATGTTCCTTGAGTACTGAAGGAAACGAGATTGGCATATTTACGGTAACAAACAGGTTACTGTTCAGAAGGAGGCATTACAAGAAATATAAACAGACTAGAAGCAAGTTGTATATGCATTGTTTGTTGACTTGATAACTTGCTAATGCATTTTCTATTTGTTGACTGTAGAAGTAGTTGCCCTCTATCTTTGACAGCTGAAGAGCTATAAAGAAGATAAAATTGTGTGTTACACAGTACAACAGCAGGTTATTCCAATTACAGCCGTAATGGATGTGCAAGATTAAATTAGACTCAAGCATAATTTAAAAGGACAGGTAAGAATGTAGCTTTAAAGGGTTTCTTATAGAAATGACTAAATATAAACAATGTTCTTTGCCTGAAGGGAGAGGTCTAGATGATCTTGAAAACTGATGGGTGGAATACCTTACTAACCAAGTGTTTTGGGTAAATGAGGTATTGGTTTTAAGACACCTTTTTTTTTTTTCTTTCCTGTTTTTAAAAAAATACAGTGTTTTTGGTGGGAGTAAAGAGGGAATACTGTTAGATGGTTTTTATTTGAGCTACTTGGGAGGTGGAGATTTGGAGAATCCTGGTTCAAGGCCAGCCCAGGCAGAAGTTTGGCCCCATCTCAACCAAAAAGTTCACATTTATAATCACAGCCACACAATATGCTATGGGTAGCAATATCAAGGCCTAGGCTAACCCCTGGCAAAAAGGTGAGACTCTATCAAAAAAAAATAACCTAAAAGGCTGAGGGTGTGATTCAAGTGGTAGAGTACCTCCCTGGTAAGTACTAGACTCTTAATTTAAACTTTGTACAGCTTATCTCCCTTCTAAAAACTTGTAGTACTTTTTAGAAATAAGCTAGCTGTATTTCTATTTATGTTTTCACTAATTAACCAGTTTATTATTATTTATATTTGTGCAGATTAGAAATTACAAACCTTCTTTTTTGTAATTGTAGTCCCAGTCCCCTAGCATATTTCTTGTTCTTTTATAATTCTAGATGGCCATCTGATGTAAGTTCTTGATATCTGCTACTTTATGGATTTCCTTTATTTCTACATAGATTTTCCTCTGTGTATTTTTTCTCTGTGCTTTCAGTTGATGGGGTACTTGCCTTCCTTCTAAGTACTTTTATTCTGCCTATGCTCTACCCTGACTTTCTCTTGATCCTTTGTCTTCCTTTTAAATATTTACATATATGCTCATTTTACAAAAACTTCGTCTTAATTCTATCAGTCTTTTTATCTAAGCTCTTTCAGTTTTGGAGATATGGTCTCCTGGTATGGGTCAGGCTGGTTTTGAACTTTGCATCGCTCTGCTTTAGCCTCCCTAGTGCTGGGATTATTAGGCAGGTAACACATGTTCTCTTTATATTGTGTTTTCTCCAGTCTCCTTCTTATCCTTACTGTCCTTTTCATGCTCACCTTTTCATCAGTTACTGGTGTTTCCATTAACTGAACATCTCTTCCATATTCAGAAGGCTGACTTAATACATAGTAGATACCTAGTAATAGTTACGGAAAATTTCCTTTGTTCTAGAGTTTTTAAAATAGCTCCTGCTTCTTGCCTATTTAATTTTTGTTTTCTTTTTCCTTCTGTTCTACAGTTTTCTCAGACTCATTCTTCTGTCACACAGAGTAATGTAAATATCTTTAGTATTTAATTTGTTATATTTTTGTGTTCTTCCCTCAGTTATGAAAAATCCTTATTGTAGAGAAGTTTCTTACTCTGCTTTGTTAATTCTAGTAGAATTAGAAGTTTACAGAGTTTAATACATCTCCAACTGAAACTTAAGTAGCCAACCAGAAACTTTTTGGAAATTGAGTAAAAATATTAATGTGTACCACATGTATTTGTGAAAGCACCCAGTCAAAACAGGGAGATCAATAACTTTCTCTTTTATTCATCACTGCTCTTTACTTCAACTGACAGGACTGTTGGCAGCCAATTCAAATCTAGCCAGAATTACTGTTGTGGTAGTGATGGTTATTATTATTTTGGTACTGGGGTTTGGACTCAAGGCTTCTTTCTTGTCAGGTGTTTATTCTACCACTAGAGTCACATCCTAACCCTTTCTTCTTTGGTTTTTTTGGAGATAGGTTCTCTACTTTTTGCCCAGGTTAGCCTAGACTTCACTCCTCTTTTATTTTATGCTACCCATCATCCACTGTGATGACAGGCCTGTGCTATAAGGCCCGCTTTTTTCATCAAGATAGGTCTTGCAGACCTTTTCTGCTTGGGGTGGCCTGGAATCTCAAAGTACATGCCACTTTGTCCAGGCATTGGTTAGATGTGCTGACTTTTTGCTAGAACGGATCTTGATTTATAGACCTGTCAGTCTCACCCTTGTCAAGTAGCTAGAATTATAGGCGTGAACCACTAGTGTCTGGCAGGTTTTTTTTTTTTTTTTTTTTTTGAGATAGGGTATCACTGTAGCCCAGGCTATACATGATCCATCTCCCCTTGTCTCCCAAGTGGTGACATTATAGGCATATGACACCGAACCTCGATTAAAGTGGCATTTAAATCAGGACGAGGTAGAAAAAAATTTTTTCTTTTATTCATTTTTTTCATACTGGAGTTTGAACTTGGTCTGGTGTTTTCTAGGCACACACTCTATACTTTCGACAAATCCCACCGACCTTTTTTTGTTTAGTTATTTTTCAGGTAGGATCTTGCATTTTTGCCTGGGGTTGACTTTGAACTGCTTTCTACTGCCTTGATGAGAGATTTTTCCTGGTCACACAGAAATTTTGAAGGCTTTTAAAAAATATTAAGAAGTTAACATAATTAACAGTATATTAAGCATTTAAATTATAAATTGTTTTGAAGGTATTGAAAACAAGTACCCTTATGTAATAAACTATAGCATTGTGTTTCATAAGTTTGCCTCATTGTGTTTCATTTTGCCTCAAGAGGTAGAGTGCTTGCCTAGAAAGAATGAAGGCCTGAGTTCAGACACTAGTTCCACCTTAAAAAAAAAGTAAAACCCTACAAAAGCAATTAAAGGATTGCTTAAGTACTTCCTTTTACTTTTTTCCTCAGACATGGTATGTGTGGCTTAACAAGTATATGTTTTGTTTATTTTATTTATGTGTGATTTTTTTATATTTGTGCTTTATTATTTATACTTAATTGAATAAGATTTACACTTGTTAAATATGAATTTAGTTTATTCTTACAATGTTGCCAAGTACTCATAACAATCTTTGACAATTTTTCAGGGTGTCTGTGAGAAGAAAACTATTTTCACGAAAATACTAATTTTTCTTTTTTAAAAAACTGATACTTTTATGAATGTTGGTGCATAGTGGAGTTTTCCAGAGACTGTCTGACAAATGGCTGTTCAAAAAAATTGAAAGCAGACAGAAGATATATCTTTTTAATTGATTTTTTTAAATTCCTTTTTTTTTTTTTTTTTTTTTTGTGAGATAGATTTTTGCTATGTTGCCTGGGCTGTCCTTGAACTCATGATTTTCCTTCCTCAGTTTCTACAGTGTTAGGATTTACAGGGGTACCATACCCATACCCAACTGTCTTCTTTTAAACCACATATTAAAGTGATTTGTAATAATATTAATTTTTTTAATTTAGAAAATGCTTTCATTACAGATGCTGTTTATATGGTCATGATTTTTCAGTTTTAAGTGAATAAATACAATACACATCTTCAGTTGTAAAGTAGACCTAAGATAAAGTTTAAGAAAGAGCTAATTTATCCATACACTTTGTAAATACATATCCATTCTTCGGTTCAGTTAGCTTTTTAGTTTCTGTTTTGCAAATTTGAAGCAATCCTGCTGTGAACATTTGTGTTCACAAATGTTCCTGTGTTTAAGTGGAATTGATACCCTGGAAAACAATCAGAAGTGGTACAGTGTCGACAAAGCTGAGAATTGCTAAGTTCTTTCTCCAGTGGTTATTGATACTGTTGTGTATGCGCTTCTGTTGTGTATCATTACTAAAGATTTGACATATTAAAATTTTCTAGAATTTTGGGGTTAAGTGTTATCTAATAGAAGTTTTAATTTTGTTCTTAATCAGATTATTGATGAGGTTGAGCTTTCCTACCTGCGCATCTCCCAGTATATTATTGGCTGTATGAATGTCCTTTTCAGTAAATTGTTTGTGTTGGTTCTTGCTTATTTATTAATATTATTTTGTATTCTTTATAAAAATTGTTTACAAATTACATTGCAAATACCTCTTTAGTTTGTGGCTTCTTTTAAGCCTTATTTTTTATAACGTTTTGTTGAATACTACTTGAAGTAAGCTCTTTAGTGTTTTCATGAATGGCTTTTGGTTTTTGCATCCTTAAAAAACTTCTTCTCTTTTCTTATTCCCCTGTTGTTGATTGAACCCAGGACGTAGTATTCATGCTAGGCAATTACTCTGAGTTGTGAGTCCAGTCCCTTTGCCTTTTATTGTTGTTTTGCTTTGCTTTGTTTATTTTTTGGCAGTATTGGGGTTTTGAACTTGACCTCACATTTGCTAAGCAGGTATTCTAGCATTTGAACCTTGCCTCCAGCTTGTATATATATACATAAGACAATTAAATTTTTTATATATAATTTTTTTTAAAGTTTGCTGTCTTTTTAAAATAATATTTAGAATACTTACCTGAATTTTTTTCTACCGTTTTTTTCTATGACTTACTTAATCTTTCTCCCCACTCATAACGGAATACAACTCAAAGGGTACATCATATTCTCATATGTATATGTGTAATTTCAAATTCCTCGTCTTTGATGTCAAACACATGTAGATTTAACAGTTTTGGTGAATATACCTGTCCTTCTTTTTATTCTTTTTGTGGTGCTAAAGTTGAATCCAGAGCCTTGTGCATGTTAGGTAAGCACTCTACTACTGACCTATCCTTGCATTTAGTGTGTTTTATTTCTTTGTCTTTCCATGACATTTAATTTTCATCATGGTACATATGCACTGTTTTCTATTTTGTTGCTACAAATTTATTTAATCAACTTCTTGAGAGAAGTTTTACTCTATTTTTGATATGAAATTCTGAAGCCCTAGAGATTATATCTAGGTTATAAAGCTAACAGCAAGATTTGAATTTGACCATGGGGTTCTAGAGTCTATACTCACATAGTATTATGTTGTTTAAATTCTGGTATTGTGATACCTCCAGCATTCTTCGTTTTTCTTTTTTTTTGGTGGCACTGAGGTTTGAACTCAGAGCCTCACACTTCCTAGGTAACTCTTACTGCCAGCCTGTTTTGTGTGTGTGTGTGTGTGTGTGTGTGTGTGTGTGTAATGTGCATACATATATATACACACAGTTGTAGAG